AAATAGTATACATTATATATTCCTAGGTTATTTTGTTTCTGTAACTGAGTTGCATGTTTATAATGCTATATGTGTGCTAAGTTGCTTTAGTCATGTCTGACTCTTTGCAGCCCTATGGACAGTAGCCAGACAGGCTCCTCTGTTCATGGGATTCTCCAGGCAAGAATACTAGAGTGGGATGTCATGCCCTCCTCCAGGGGATCTTCCCAACCCAGGGATCGAACCCACATGGTTACATCCACCTGCATTGGCAGGCAGCTTCTTGACTACTAGCACCATCTGGGAAGCTCATAATGCTATATATCAGAATGCTAAAACTAAGACTTATTAAAATAATTTTAATTTTACAATATCTTGATAACAATCAATAAAGGCTTCCCTGGTGGCTCAGCAGTAAAGAATCCACCTGCAATGCGGAAGACCTGGGTTCCATCCCTGGGTTGGGAAGATCCCTTGGAGAGGGCATGGCAACCCACTCCAGTATTCTTGCCTGGAGAATCCCGTGGATAGAGGAGCCTGGTGGGCTATGTAGTCCATGTAGTCACAAAGAGTCAGACAGGACTGAGTGACTAAGCACAGCACAGCATATTATGTGAATAAAAGAGAGGCAAGGAATGGTGTTTATCCTACCAATAGCTTTTACTTACACTTTTTTCTAAATGGAGTTCAGATCCTTTTGAGATTATAAAATTTAAGAGATTTTCAGGAGGGGTTAGAGAAAATACTTATTCTTAAACAGAGGTATAGTTGAACTTATTTTCTGACTTAAGTAAAAGCAAATGTTAAAACCCAATGCAATTTTCTAGTGTTACTTATCGCAAGCTGGAATCAAGATTGACAGGAGAAATATCAATAGCCTCAGATATGCAGATGACACCACCCTTATGGCAGAAAGTGAAGAACTAAAGAGCTTCTTGATGAAAGTGAAAGAGGAGAGTGAAAAAGTTGGCTTAAAGCTCAACATTCGGAAAACTAAGATCATGGAGGCCACCTGATGCGAAGAACTGACTCATTTGAAAAGACCCTGATGCTGGGAAAGATTGAAGGTGGGAGGAGAAGGGGATGACAGAGGATGAAATGGTTGGATGGCTTCACTGACTCAATGGACATTAGTTTAGGTAAACTCTAGGAGTTGGTGATGGACAGGGAGGCCTGGCGTGCTGCAGTCCAGGGGGGTCAAAGAGTCACAGAGTCCTACACAGCTGAGCAACGGAACTGAACTCATCCTCTTTTTTTTCTTCCGAATTAACTTCAATTGAATAGGGCCCCATTTAAATATGTGAAAATGTTTCCTTAATATTAGGTAGAAAGCATGCCATGCTTATTTCATTAAAAAAAATGTTAATAGCATAAATTATAAACCCTTCCAGCAATGCCTATTTTAAAAGGTAACATGTTAAAGATATCTAAGTAGAGACCATTTTGCAATTTCCCATGAAACAATAATAACGGGTGAAAACAAGATGTTACTCAGTTCTTTGACACAATACCCTCATGCCCCGTTTGCCAAGCGCGGTGTGCCTGCTCAGTGATGTGTGACTCTTTGTTGTCCCCAGAATGTAGCCCTCAAGCCTCCTCTGTCCATGGGATTCTCAGGCAAGAATCCTGGAGTGGATTGCCATTTCCCTCTCCAGGGGATCTTCCCCACTCAGGGATCGAACCCACGTTTCTTGCATCTTCTGCATTGGCTGATGGATCCTTTACCATTGTGCCGCCTGGGAAACCCAGTTCCTTGAGGAGAGAAAGAGAATGTTTTAATCTCTGGCACAACTACTAGAAGCTAGCTACTCTCTTATGTTGGCATTTTGGCCACTACCTGTAAAAGAATACTGAGTGGAAAGCCTGCAGCAATGACTAAGAAAGGAGTGAGCATGGTCACTTGGGGGATGTGTGTTCTGATCTCGGTGGCATTACTCAATATTATGCAGCTTTTCCGATCCTCCTTTCTTTCCTCTGTGAAATGAAGCCCCAAGGGAACGCGTCAGTGGCAGTATTTGGATCAGGATACAAATTTCTGCTTCTCCATTTTGTGTACTTCTCTTTTGTGACTCAGCCTAATCCTTTCAGGGAAGTATTCAAACCACATCTGCCTGACTCTCCTGCCAGTTTCCTTCAAACACCATCATTGGCTGAGTCAGCCTCCTGTCGTCTTACTGAAAGCAATAAGGTTTACATTCTCACTTTATGATTAAAACATATCTTGGCTAGACAAAGAACTTCTCACTTTGCTGTTCTGACACCTTGTGCAGACTGCCCTGCTCTTGTACTGAAGACTCTTAAAGGTCTTCCCAAGACAAAATTCACAACAGTTAGACATGACCTTTTGCACTTGGGTCTTCTTCAGTGGAATCCAGAGCCTGATCATGAATGCTTTAAAGGCAGTATGAAGTTAGGATACGGGTGGTGGCTGGTTTATGGATGTCTGATTGTATTTTTAATATAGGAGCTGGCAATTGGAAGTAGTCATAACAGCTAGAATAACTGGAATTATCCCAGTTTCCCTACTCTTTAAGCTTGGTTTTTCCTTTTTCTCCTATTCCTTCAACTTTTGTAAATTCAGATTTTTGTCCAAGCCAAGCATAGACCCCTTTTTTCCTTCTTGCTCTAATGTAGGCCCTAGATGGGCCCATCCACCCACGTCCTGATGATGCAAAATGTGAAGATAACCCAGCCTCAGCACTCATCTCCCTAGTGTCATCTCCAGTTCTCTTCCCCCACAAGAGTTGTTCAAAGATGTAGATCATGCTTCATATTCTGTAGATCACATGCAAGCTTGTATACAACACACAGGCTAGTTATAGTCAATATTATGAATGGGTGCTACTCTGAAATTTTAATGACTCTCAGTCACAAATGGTGGGCCTCAGTCAATATCATTATGATCCATGTAGCTTTATATTCCATATTGACATCCTGCATGTATGCTCTATATGTTCACTTATTTAAGTGAAATGAGAATGAGTGTGTCTTCCAGCTTATACTCATATTGTTGTTGATAGTGTGGATAATAATAATGATAATAAATGTCAGACCATCTCAAAAGGGTTATGAGCTTATTTTAGGAATAGAGAGTGTGATGAAGACCTTCATGATGGTATTCCACTGTACAGTAGGCTAGGCCAAGTGGAAAGACCTCCTGAGCAAAGGAAGTACAAATATCCAAGCTTGTGTCTGCAGGCTTCACAGAACAGATGATAGAATGGAGGATCTGTCTTGATCTCCTTAAGATACTCTCTCTTTAATGCAACCTCTAAGTGAGCTATGCCCAATAACAAAAAAAAGGAACTTTAGTGTTGATAAACTTTTTGGCAATGTCTGTGTGTTTGAGAGAGAGAGTGACAGAGAATATGAATGAATGAATATTAGGTGTGGATGAAGGAGAAGTTTGTATTCCTGACAGCCTAGTGAGAAACTCAGGGCATATTTTCCTAAATAATCCCTGTCAGAGAGTAGTGTGATTTAGGAATGTTATTTGTTAAAGGATATGAGAAACTGCATTCCACCTTCTAAGATGCTATTAGAAGTGATCAAATCTTTGTTCCATGACTTATTGGAATTAGGCTCCTCTGTCCTTGGGGATTCTCCAGGCAAGAATACTGGAGTGGGTTCTATGCCCTCCTCCAGGGGATCTTCCCAACCCAGGGATGGAACCCAGGTCTCCTGCATTACAGGTGGATTCTTTGCCATCTGAACCACTGGGGAAGCCCACCATAAATATAAAGCATACATATACTATACAGTCCGTGGAATTCTCTAGGCCAGAATACTGGAGTGGGTAGCTGTTCCTTTCTCCAGGGGATCTTCCCTACCCAGGGATCGAACCCAAGTTTCCGGCATCGCAGGCGGATTCTTTACCAGCTGAGCCACCAGGCAAGCCCCAAAGAGCAGTGTGATTTAGGTATGTTATTTGTTAAGGGATTATTTTATGAGAAACTGCATCCTACCTTCCAAGGTTGTATTAGAAGTGACCAAATCTTTGGAACATGGTATATTGGAGAGTTAGATTCTGTGAAGTACTTTTTTAAAAAAAATTAGGCAATATTGTAAAAGCAGTGTGTAGCTGAAGCAACAAAAGTGATAACTTCTTTGGTAAGATTTTTCATACATGTTAGAAAAAGAAACAACTAGAAATCTAATCTTGCAAACGGAATAACTTTTTAAGCAGAGAATTAAAAAATGTGGTATAAAAGAGGCCCAAGTTTAAAGTTTTCAGAATGCAGTCAAGTTTACAATAATGAGCCTTTCTGCTTCTCTGCCTTGTTTGGTAGAGTTGGGGTGGTCTTCCTGGGAGGTAATGTCTGTGTCCTAAAGTCAAAGAGAGAATTGCTAGTGTTTAAAAACAAAAGGAATTTTTAAGGAGAGTACGACAGGTGGAAACAGAAACCTTGCTTTTTTGATGAAAGTTTTCGAAAGAAGAGATGAGTGACAGAGCAAGAGCGAAAGTCAGTTTGGCCGAGGGCAGACTGGACTGCCACCGTAACTGGAAAAGGGAGGGCGGCACAGACTCTCCCGTCGATCCGCTGTGTGTGCCCTGTCCTCTAGCCGCTGCCACACTCTCTTCTTCCTTTTTTAATGTTCTTTATTATGGTCTCTCTGTCCCTTTTTGTCCTCTTATCTTCCCTCTGCCTTTCTATGCCTTTGTTCTCCCCCCTGGTACTTTTATCTAATTCCTCAGTGTCTTCATTTATATGTTATAAAGACATTACAAATTGTAGGATGAGAAAAGCTTTGTTTTTTAAGCCCCTTGATGTAAAGCAATAGGGATTTTTCAGTAAAAAAAAAAATAATATAGAAAGATGGGAAATTTTGGTACATTTAGTAGCTCTGTGTATTTCTGAATGTCTGTGGAACATAGAAGCCCTAGTGAATGAGAGTTTACTGAAAACATTATTTTTCATTAATAGTATGCAGTACAGCATTTTAGCTGTTGTGTGAAGTAGCTTTTAGGCAGTCAGTTAACCTTAACAATAATATGTAATCACGTGTTCTTTTTCTTACAGCTGCACCTTTTACGAGTCTACCTGTCCAGGAAGAAATTACCACAAAGTACTCTAATCTTTCTTCGGAGAGTCATAACATATCAGTGACTGGTAAATGCATCGTGTTTCTAATAATTTAATAAGCAGATAATTTTTTATATTTAATTAAGCCACTGTATTTTCCTTGTGGAGTACTGATCTCTACTCACAGTCTGGAGGAAGAAAGACACCAGTACCTAACAGAGCTGTAATGTAGCATGATGAGAGTCAAATGTGAGGAGGGCAGTGTGCCCCAGGGCAAGGAGGAGGCAGGCAGTCCAGCTAGGAGGGTTAAGGAAGGCTCTCTAGAAGGAGCACACCTGGGGAGAGGGGAGGGTTCATTTTAATTTTAGATACGCTTCTGTAGTCTTCACACCTTGCTGGTACAGCCATTTAAGTCACTTTGCCTTGAGAGGGGAATTTATGTAATCTACTGGAAAAACGTTAGTCAGAAAGATCGAAGATGTTATCTATGAGTCAGGGACAGTGCTGTGGGAAAAACAAGTAAAGAATCCTGAAACAAAATGCAGGTCTGCTTTTCCTCACAGTTTTGGATTCCAGTGTTTTAAAAGTAATCTAAGACTTTACATCTCAGACTTGTAGTTAAATGACTAAGAGTAGTTATCTGTTTTAGTAACAATATTAAAAGTATAATTAGAATTCTAAACCTGTTTATTAAGTCACTGATAAGTTTTATCCAAGTGTATGTCCAGTCTTTAACTGTCCTCTAGTCTTAAGAAAGGTTTCTCTGCCTCTGTTTAATGTGAGTAAAAGGCGTGCCCTCCCTGGAATCTGATACCACTGGAATGTTGGCAGTGAGGTTTCTGACAGGAGAACATCTCTGTGACTTTGTGCCACTCCTGTTTGTTTCCGGATGTCCCATTCTAGTGTCTGGAGTGTGTTCCTTCCTGTGAGAAGGGCTCACCACACTCCTGTTTGTTTCCGGATGTCCCATTCTAGTGTCTGGAGAGTGTTCCTTCCTGTGAGAAGGGCTCACCACACTCCTGTTTGTTTCCGGATGTCCCATTCTAGTGTCTGGAGTGTGTTCCTTCCTGTGAGAAGGGCTCACCACACTCCTGTTTGTTTCCGGATGTCCCATTCTAGCGTCTGGAGAGTGTTCCTTCCTGTGAGAAGGGCTCACCACACTCCTGTGTTGCTGCGTGTGGTTTGCCTTTCACAGGTTCTAGTGGTTGGTTTCCTTTCTTAGGGCGGAGTGTTTCTTTAAGAGAGATTTATGTAAGGACATAAGCTTGCAAATCTGTCCATTAACCTGGTAATGCTGGCAGGAGACGCCCCTCATGTATCCTGTATAGCTGGAGCTCAGTGAAAAAAGGATCAGGTGCCCACTGAAAGACTGAAAATTGGACTTTTCGTTGATGTCAGGCTGATTATTTACTTAACCTGTTTGGAGGGTTTCACTCCTAACCGCTCTTTTGTTCTGATACTGCTATTAAAACCAGTGTTCCTACACTATCCAAGAGAGCAGGTGTTCACAACTGCCCATTACTCACTGTCTGCCTCGGCCTGATCACATTGGAATCAGGCTTTTCTTTTCCTCTCAGACCCCTGATCTTCGGCTTGCCCCCCTCCTGAGCAAGCAATAATGCATGACCACACTCCAGTGGTGCTGTCTGCTTTGCCCCACTAGGTTGCCCCATTTCTTCTGAAAAGTTCTTTCCAGGCCTCTTACCCCTCCGTATAAAGGAAAAGTGTTTGTTTTTCTATTTGACACTTGAGATGCCTGTAGATCCAAAGCTTGTAGCATTTCCCTGATTACAGTAGAATTTTTGGAATAAAGACTCTCCTTATTTGGGCTTCGGTGGTGGCTCAGTGGTAAAGAACCTTCCTGCCTATGCAGGAGATAACGGGTTCTATCCCTGGGTCAGGAAGATCCCCTGGAGAAGGAAATGGCCACCCATTCTAGTATTCTTGCCTGGGAAATCCCATGGACAGAGGATCCTGGCATGCTGCAGTTGTGGGGTCACTGAAGAGCTGGACAGGACTTAGCAACTAAAAACAAAACCAAACAAGGCTGTACTGTCCCATAGCTGGTAAACAGCAGCACAGGCTTTCCTGTGCATGAATTGTGTGTTCTCTGTCCTCCAGCACCCAGTACATTCTCTGTCTTCACTTTTTATGCCCTTTATTATGATCTGTCTGTCCTTTTTTGTCCTTTCATCATCTCTCTGCTTTTCGATGTCTTTTATTTTCTGGTCCTCTTTATCTAATTTCTCAATGTCTTCATTTGTGTTTTAGAAAGAAATTACAAATTGTAGGATAAGGAAAGTTTTTTGTTTTTTTTTTTTTTCCAAGCCAACTGATACAAGTCAGTAGGGATTTTTCAGGAAAAAAAATAGAAAGACTGGAAATTTTGTACCTTCATTAGCTCAGTGTATTTCTAAATGTCTATGGAGCATATAAAACATAGTGAATCAGAGATTCCTAAAAACATTTTTCATTAATAGTATACAATATAGTATTTTAGCTGCTGTGAAATAACTTTATGCAGTCATTCAACCTTGATAATAATATGTAATCATATGTTCTTTTTCTTACAGCTGCACCTTATACAAGTCTACCTGTCCAGGAAGAAATGATGACAAAGTACTCTAACCTTTCCTTGGAGAGTCATAACATCTCAATGACTGGTAAATGTATCATGTTTCATGTTTCAAATAATATAATACCCGGATAATTTTTATTTTTAATTAAGCCACTGTATTTTGCCTTATGAAGTACTAATCTCTGCTCACAGTCTGGTGGGAGAAACACACCAGTATTTCATACAGTTAAAATACTGTGAGGTGCTCCAGTGCAGGGAGGAGGCGGCCAGTCCAGCTGGGAAGGTTAAGGGAGGCTCTGTAGAAGAAAGACACCTGGGGAGAGGGGAGGGTTCATTTTAATTTGCAGATACTATTCCGTTGTCCTCACACCTTACTGGTACAGCCAATCAAGCCACTCTGCCTTGAGAGGAGAATTCATGCATCTACTGGAAGAATTTCAGGCAAAGAAATTAAAGATGTTATCTATGAGTCAGGGACAGTGCTGTGGGAAAACCAAGTAAAGAATCCTGAAATCCAGATTGGCTTTCTCTTTTCACAGTTTTGGATTCCAGTGCTTTAAAAGTAATCTCAGAGCCCTTTAAATGACTAAGAGTAGTTATCTGTTTTAGTAACAATATTAGAAGTATAATTAGAATTCTAAACCTGCTTATTAAGTCATTGATAAGTTTTATCCAAGTGTATGTCCAGTCTTTAACTGTCCTCTAGTCTTAAGAACGGTTTCTCTGTCTCTGTTTAATATGAGTAAAAGGCGTGCCCTCCCTGGAATCCGATACCACTGGAATGTTGGCAGTGAGGTTTCTGACAGAAGAGCATCTCTGTGACTTTGTGCCACTCCTGTTTGTTTCCGGATGTCCCATTCTAGCGTCTGGAGTGTGTTCCTTCCTGTGAGAAGGGCTCACCACACTCCTGTGTTGCTGCGTGTGGTTTGCCTTTCACAGGTTCTAGTGGTTGTTTTCCTTTCTTAGGGCGGAGTGTTTCTTTAAGAGAGATTTATGTAAGGACATAAGCTTGCAAATCTGTCCATTAACCTGGTAATGCTGGCAGGAGACGCCCCTCATGTATCCTGTATAGCTGGAGCTCAGTGAAAAAAGGATCAGGTGCCCACTGAAAGACTGAAAATTGGACTTTTCGTTGATGTCAGGCTGATTATTTACTTAACCTGTTTGGAGGGTTTCACTCCTAACCGCTCTTTTGTTCTGATACTGCTGTTAAAACCAGTGTTCCTACACTATCCAAGAGAGCAGGTGTTCACAACTGCCCATCACTCACTGTCTGCTTTGGGGCTTCCCTGCTGCCTCAGATGGTAAAGAATCTGCCTGCAATGCAGGAGACCCAGGTTTCATCTCTGGGTTAGGAAGATCCCTTGGAGAAGGACTGGCATCCCACTCCAATATTCTTGCCTGAGTTTTCCATGGACAGAGGAGCCTGGTGGTCTACAGTCCATGGGGTCACAAAGAGTCGGACATGACTGAGCAACTAATACAACACCCGTCTACCTTGGCCTGATCGAACTTGAGTCATGCTTTTTTCTTCCTCTCAGACACCTGGACTCTGGCTTACCCCAGTCTGTGCAAGCAGTAAATGCATTACACCATTCCAGTGGTGCTGTCTGCTTTTACCACTGGGTAAAAGCTTCATTTCTTCTCAACAGTTCCTTCCAGCCCTCTTATCCTGTCTTATAAAAGTGTTTTTCTTCTATTTGACATTGAGATGCCTGTAGATCCAAAGCTTGCAGCATTTCCCCTATTGCAGTGGACATTTTGAATATAGTTGTTCCTTATTTAAGTCTGGATTTGATTTTACTCAAAAAAAAAAAAAAATGACCTTAACTTTGGGTTTCCCTGTGGCTCAGCTGGTAAAGAATCCGCCTGCAATGCAGACCTGGGTTTGATTCCTGGGCCGGGAAGATCCTCTGGAGAAGGGAAAGGCTACCCACTCAGTATTCTGGCCTAGAGAATTCCATGGACTGTATTACAGTCCATGGGGTCGCAAGGAGTCGGACACAACTGACCGACCTTCACTTCACTGACCTACCTTCACTTTCACTTTTCTTTGAAACACAGCGTCTCTGCGCTGTGACCCTTTTCATCATAGGCTGTTGTTCTGGTTGCCTTTCCATCTAAAAGTTTGGTTTTAGGAACTGCTTTTATTGAAATATGGAATTTAAATCTGAAGGTGTACTTAAGTTTATTAGGAACCATAGGCTTTCTTCTCGGAGAAGGCACCCCACTCCAGTACTCTTGCCTGGAAAATCCCATGGACGGAGGAGCCTGGTAGGCTGCAGTCCATGGGGTCACAAAGAGTCGGACACGACTGAGCGACTTCACTTTCACTTTTCACTTTCATGCATTGGAGAAGGAAATGGCAACCCACTCCAGTGTTCTTGCCTGGAGAATCCCAGGGANAAGAATACCACACCTATATATATGCTAACAGGAGTTACTAAAAATAGATCAAAGGTTTGCATATGTGCAGAGCTACAGGCACAGATGTTTTAAATTCCTCCACTTAAGATCAGTAAAGCATTACCCTAGCACCCAACATGATTAAGATCAATAGAACATTAACTAGATAGAAAACAGGCTTCAAGCATGATGCGTTTATCAGCACCAGGAAAACAGGCGAAAGGTCACCGGGGTGTTTTTTCCCTGAAGGGGACAAATGCCAGTCTATACTTTAACAAGAAGTGGTGGCAGGACAAAGAGAGACCCTTTGTTCTCTCTTAGGGCCGTAAGGGGCCTGTACGTTCAGGCCGGCTCCCTGCAGGACATGACTGAGCGACTGAACTGAACTGAACTGAATGAAATGAGTGTCCCTTAAATTTGGCTGCTCAGATGCTTTGTTGCAGAGAAGATCTGAGAATGATTCCAGTGAGGCGTACTTGTTTAGGATGTTTCTCAGAAGCAGATCACCAGCTATCAAATCTTAAGTAGACTGTTGATGTACAGAGGAAAAGGACTGTGAATCCTAATATACACAAAGAGTGAAAGAGAAGATGGAAGAGGGATCCGTCATATAACACAATTGATAATAGCTGTCAGCAGCTTTTTTTGTGCTAGAGTGTCTCATTATCATAAACACTGACATTTTGGGCTAGATAATTCTCTGTTACTGGGGTCAGGGGGATGCATGTTTGGGGGCACTGTAGGATGTTTAGCATCATCCTTGGCTTCTATCCACTAGATCTGAGCAGCACCTACCAAGTTGTGACAACCAAAAATGTCTCCAGATATTGTCACATGTCCCCTGGTAGACAAAAACATCCTCAATTGTAAACCACTGCTTGGCACATAAAAAAGAATACCTATGTTACTGTTCCCTGTCCCCTCAGCGTGGGGAGACAGATGATTTAATAATCACATGGTTGTTAACATTTAATAAAAAATTTCACCTAAAGGTTAGATGATGGTGCTGAGCATAAGTGGGACAGGGAACCTGATCAATTAAAAGCCTTTTCTGTGCCCTTTTGCTGATTTCAAATCCTCCCCATCTTTGAGAATTAAGTTAAAAGCTATGTCCCCCATAAAGCACAGATAGAGAAGTACTGTTTCTATTTCTCTTATATGTATCCAGTATTTTTAAAATTAATTTTAAATTACATAAATAAAAATGAATTCATTTTAAGAAATACTAAAATGTTATTTCTAGCCCACAATAAATTAGAGACTCTGACAGTTCTCTTGACACATCTAGAAAATCTAAAATATAGCAAACATTCATTCTTTTAAATATAAAATCTTTTAAGTATATATATATATAGCTAAGTACTGCCAAAAGATATAATCAATAAACCAGTCTATAATAGAAATGGAAAAGAGTGTTATTTGAGCCAAATGGAAGACTATAGCCCAGGAGACAGATTTAGGAAGCACTTGAATTGTGTTCCACTGGACTACAAAATGGGGAAGTTTATAAAGGCAAACACTGTAAAATTAATTTAAGTTGTTTGTCAAGAATTATAATTAGACCAGGGATCTAATTGTGGATTGATGTCATATTAGGTTTCCTTGTGTTTGTTGCCGAGGCACTTGAGTTCTCATAGCCACAGACTTAGAACAAGGCCTTGAATTTAGGCAAGGAGGGGAGTTGGAACTGAAAAGCCCCAGAAAGCTGAAGCTGAAAACCCTGAGAATTCTATAAACACAGAGAAAGGATTCACACAGTGTAAAAAACAGCTGGTTAGCACAAGGAGATGCTCAGCTGGCTTCTTGGTTTTAGCCTTGTTCTGCACCGAAACAAAAGACTTCCATGAGTTTTCTAAGACAAGAGCCTGCTCTCCCTGAGGCTGGAATTCAGATTTACATTACTTGCATGATACAGGAGCTTCCAACCTGAGAAATAACACAAAAATGACCCCTGACAGGTGATACTTCTGCAGGAAAGCAAATGAAAAACATCTGTGGAAGAAGGAGTCTTTCTCCTTGGCTCTGCAATTCATATTTGGAGCTGCTTGCAAGACAGAAATGTGAAGTGCAATGAAGCAGTTCTAGTACTGAGCACCCACTAAGGAGCAGTAGGATTACACCTTCCAGCACTTCAGACTCTAGAATAGGGAAGAACGTGAAGGAAGAAATACTTGAAACATGAGAAAAGAACATTATGCTATTAAAAAAAAATCTGTTGGGGGGTATCTGTATAAGGTGATGGACAATCATTTTCCAATATATGTAGGTCTAGTCATTATGATGTATGCACTGAACTTATACAGGGCTGTATGTCAAGCATATCTCAGTAAAACTGAAAGGGAAAAAAAAAATCACTTTTGAAAAATAGCTGAATAGAACTTCTGGGGTTAAAAACAAAACTTGTCAGACTTGACTGTTCACTGTCTCCATTCTCAGATCTCTCTCTTTTCCACTGGTAACCTCTGTTCAATGCATGTGTAGTAACCATAGAAACTTTATAGTATTTTTGGCTACTCTTTAATATTAATAGTATAAACCCATATGTATCCATCTGAAAATTTCTTTATTTTGGTCATCATTCAACATTAATTCTGGGGGTTCTAGCCATATCATCTATGCGTGTAGCATGTTCTTTACCTGTATGCATAGTATAGATACACAGGCTTGGGTATTATTCTC